TATATCCCGATACATTCTGATACTAAAACAAAGGATGATATATTGTGACTTATCAATAATTGTGTATAATATTCTTATCGAGTACACATTCACATGAACAAAATGGAATGAAATACAGTTTATTTCATTTTAAAATCATGAGAACATTAAATTTAACTTAAGAATTTCTCATGAAAAAGATTAAATTAAAAAATCGATTCAGACAAATTTTTATCAATATAAAAATTCTGCAGTAAAATATCTCAATGTATCAATGAATCAATATTTTCTTACACCCCTGCTCTATACAGTGCAACTTTAAATCTAATGTTATGGACAATAATGCACCAAAAATACAGCAGGCCACAAGACTTTGCCAGTAAAATATAAGTTTTATTTCATCAACCACAAATCCTTACGAACTCTGGAAACTGGGGCTGTAAAATACTGACTAATAGTACTTGTTGCCAATTCTGCGTTCTCTATAAAGTCTAAAATTACATTTTTTTTTTATTTTATTTTGCAGTACTATGAAAATGAATGGGATAGAATGTTATTATCAGTACCAGGCTGTGTGTGCTGCATTCCTAAACACATCACTCCTGGAAGGGTCTATGTAAAATGACTAATCGCTCATGTTTTCTACCCATATTGGTCAGCATAATGTCCAAACTATCTTAACTATCATGCACAGTTCATATTTTACTTTTTGGCTAATCCTAACTAACTCATTAAGTATATTGTGGTACCTGTTATAGAGCCAAAAAGCACTAAATGTTTTCATAAATTATCCTGTTACTATAGCAAATTACACGTCCTGGCCTGTTTTAAAAGTGTATCAATAGACTCCAGACTTCTGTCAACAAACTCCAGTCGTACGCAGCCTCTTTTTTACCAGAACCCCACTGCGGTTAACCAAGATCGTTTAACCTCTACTCCATCTATCGTCGTGAGTTGCCGGCAGCGCATTTTGGAGGAAAGGGCATTTGGCCGACCCTCTGTAAATATGTGTCCCTGGTGACGCGCTATAACAATGCATGGAGCCCAATGGGGATGAAATTAGAGGAAAAGTTTGGACGTGCCTACATTGTGTCCGAGATCCTGGCATTGTGGCAGGGGTGATGTTTGTGCTACCCACTCCGCTCGCTGAATGTACACTTCTATTGTGTGAACTCCGAAGCCAACTCCAAAATGTGGTTTAAGCCTCGAGAGAATACAGCGGAACGTTTTGAAATAATGACTCGTGGCGGCGATAGGGCTGGAAGTTTTGAGAAACAGACCGGACTTTTCGGGAGCTATAGAGCAAGCTTCCAACTGGGTAATTGCTGCTGCTGTGCTACCACAGAAGATCAGCAAGAGATGTAGGAGATTAAATATGGACTAGTTTCAAATCGGTAGACCTACATTGTGAAACAAGTTTATGTAAGCACATACTTTTTCATTTTTATCTATGAACCTTCTGCTACCTACATGGCCAGACATGTTCCACAGTACAGCATTACAGATGCACCTATACAAATACTGGTATGAGTGCATCCAGGAAAATTTGCTGGATTATATCGGTTCTATGATTTGGTTCAGCTGATATCCTGGTTTTAGTTTGTTAGTTTTTAATTGAAGGATAGATGACAGTTACAGAACACAGTTTGGTCAATTTTGTAATAAGTTATATGTGTTTTTGGGTGAAAAAAGTACATTTTTAATCCCTACACTAGTATTGTTTCATATCAGATATCGACAGATAGTTAAAGCCATAGTATTGTTTTTGACAAAGCTGGATCAGTGCATCCCTATATAGCCTTAGGGGTGTGCAAAAAATATTGAAATATCAATATATCATACCATTTAATGTGATTATACAGTATCGATATTGTGGGCTGCTGAGTATTTTTTGGTATATTTTACTACATTATTTTGTCAGCGCAACAGTTTTGTTGCTGGTTTAGTGGAAGGAAACTCTTACGCAGCACATTTGACATTTTCACTGTTTTCATGATTTAAATGTGCATGTTTCACATTAACTTTGCACAAGAAATTGTTTAACAAAGACTTTTGGTATCACAGACATGATTTAGCCATTATTTTTTTATTGAACCATACTGAATTGATTTGAAATATATTGTATTGAATCAAAAGCAAGCTCACAGTATCGGGATATTTATTGTATCGTGGCCTATGTATCGAGGTATGTATCATATCTGCAACTTCTAATGATACCCCCAGCCCTATATAGCATTACACAAATCTATCTCCATGAAGTCAGTGTCTGCCACTAGGTCAAATTTTAGGTGAGATCTGTGGAAAAGCAAGAATGCATGTTTGACCAGGTATTTCTAGCATTTAAAACACCTGTAATTGAATGCATTCATATAGTTTAATGACCTATAGGGGAACATTCCATGCAAAGATGCAGGCAGGTGGCAGAATCACTTTAAATCTTAATTAAACAAGAACGACACTTGAATTTTTTTTCCACTTTTTCCTTATTCATACAACAATTCCACAGACCCAAAAGTGGTCAAGTGGTCTTCCTCAGAGACACAACAAAGATATTTTAACACTTTCTAAATAACCTTCAGTCCAGTTTCGAACAATGTAAAAATGTGGATGAGGCTTCGGTCAACCTCTTGATACACAAAAACACTCGGCCCAAAACCAATGTAAATGTCCAATGTTATCCACAGTATTCGGTGGTGTACACAGCATGCTCAGAATCCACTCAACTCTGATCATCGCACATTACATTTTCAACCACAAGTTCCACAAAACATTCATAATAACATTCCACTTACAAAGACATGGGTTAAGATATTCCCAAACAGTAAAGCACTTTCTGGCAGTTGCATATATAAAGATCTTGTACTGATTCGTGTCTTGCCTCAGTAATATGGTGACCAGATTTTCAAAATAAAAAACTCGGATGTCCCTGGTTTGGGCTTGTTTGGTAATAATAAAATTGTAAAACGAGTGCATAATTAAGGAAAATTGTTATGTATCCGGCACTAATGTGAGTCAGTATAGTCACATTTTCTTTGTGTTTTGGTAATTTTTAAGCAGCTTTTCTGTATTATACTGAAACAAATGACAACATATGCCTCTCTTTTCTGTTGGCAGGGATCAGATTGGTCAAAAATAGAGACATCTGAATCATACAGAAGCCGAGAGGGATCACAACAAATGCAAACTCCGCAACAAATACAAATGCGACAACACAACAAAAAGTCACAACAAACCAAAAAAAAGCCACAAAACACCAAAAAAAGTCACAACGGAAATGACCGCGGGACTCTAATTTAATGCAAACGCCGCAACAAATACAAATGCCACAACACAAACGCAAATGCCGCAACACATTAAAAAGGCACAACACATCAAAAAGCCACAACGGAAGTGACCGAGGGACTCTATTTTCCGACGGACCGTTCAAGCGGCAAGTGAAGAAGAAGAACTACTACGCGAAACAAATAATGATAAAACAATAAATTACTTTTATTTAAATTTCCAACTTCTTCGTTCCTTTACTTTTCACGTTGTAGTTCTTCTTCACTTGCCGCTTGATCAGTCCGTCGGAAAATAGAGTATCGCGGTCACTTCCATTGTGGCTTTTTGTGTGTTGTGGCTTTTTAATGTGTTGTGGCTTTTTAATGTGTTGTGGCTTTTTAATGTGTTGCGGCATTTGCATTTGTGGCGTTTGCATTAAAATAGAGTCCCGTGGTCATTTCTGTTGTGGCTTTTTTTGGTGTGCTGTGGCTTTTTGTTGTGTTATCAAATTTGTATTTGTTGCGGCGTTTGCATTTGTTGTGACATCTCTCAGCTTCCGTAGAATAATTTCTTGTATAAAATTGTGACAAATCAGTGGTTTTGTTTAAATTTGCTGGGACAGGGAAGACAGGGTTCAAAACTGGGACTGTCCTGAGTAAAAAGGGACGTCTGGTCACCCTACCCAGTAATTCCTATATTGTAAGCAGCTCTTGATAAAGCAAGTTAGCATTACCTTGAAAGCAAACCCTAAGGTAAGTGTGGAATAACTTTGGACCACTGCAAACTTAACTAGAAAAATAAAATTCAATTAAAATGAACTAGTTCTGTGTCCGTGTTTTTCACAGTTTGAAAACAGGTACAATCCCTCTAAATATTCCCATTCATAAACTTTGACATTTAATCAAATCCCTGGTGCTTTTTTTTTCTATTTTGTCTAACTGAGTGATTAAACCTGTCAGTGCACTCTTAAGGCCTAATCCGTGCATCCTTGTTATAAAAAGGCACAGCCCAAGAAAGGCATGCTGGGAGAAACTGTGGAAAACCCCTGGACTTGGGCTAAGTTGGTAACATACACAAGGCCAAAAGTACCACAATAGTGTCATCAAAAAAGTAAGTTGGGAGTTAATACTAGAGCATCATGCATTACATTCAATACATCAGTTCTGCATGTATTGACTTTCTATATGCAATTTCCACACTAATTTTGCATGTGTTGTTATGATGGTCTGTTATTGACACAGACAGTAAGAGGCATTTGAAAATTTTAGTGTCAAGACATAAATATAGAAACCAAGTAAGGAAAAGCAATCATCATGTTAAAGCTATTTACCCAAAACATTACCAAAACCACATTACAGATTAGGACAGGGCTCGGGTCATTGGATCGGAAAACAACCGTGATGACGGAGCATTCCTCCTTTCACACACCTGGGACACCCTCCTCCAGAGAACATCGGGCGACAGGAGGCGTGATCAGTCTGAGCGACCTGCCAGGCCCAACAGGCTGACCACGCCTACAGGAAGTAACAACAGCTGATATACGACATGTCACCAACAACACCGGTGACAGTTCTGACAAAATGAACATCTTTGGCTTAATACCAAAAGTGCAGCCGACATAGTAATAAAAAAACAAACAAAATCGAACACTATACAATATTCTAAAATCCAGGGCACATCAAAGATTGACAAAAGCTATACGGATGCTGTATGGAAAGCTTTGTCTCAATGTTTGCGTGTATTTTCCATGTAAGACTTACCTGCAGATGCTTGGTGCCATATTGTAAGAAGCAATATTAAACTTTTGAATCGTCTCCACATGATGAGGACTCCAGCTGTTTGGATAGTAGGACGGTCAGAGGAGAAACTGCGGTAAGGAACTCTCTTCTCTCTTCACTTCAGGTCTTCAGAGAGCAACCTGAAAACAACAGACAGACAAAGGTTTAGTAAGAGAGTGAGAGAAGTGGGTACTTAGTTTCACTCTTGAGGCGGTAACCACAATCACATCATATTTTTGCATTTGAAATATGCTCAAATTGACACGTCTGGGTTCAAGTATTACACAAAACAAGGTAGAAAAAGTCTGAGGAAGTCATCTGGATTTATTTTCAATTTGACAAAACAGTAACACTTTATTTTAGGGTGCACTTAGCATAGTTATAGATGGTTAATTTGTCATTAATTAGTATTTATTCAGCCCTTATTAATGTCTGATTCCCCACAGGCTTGATCTGCTGTTAGTTTGACATTTACAAACACTTTCCTATTAATACACTCCTTGTTACTGCTTATTAATATGATACTAGGCCATTTTTGTCCATGAATTGTTTTGTACAACTACCTACTCATATATGAACTATTAATATGAATGTCACAATAGATAAATTAAGTGTGAAGAAAAGACCATTTTAGAATAGGGACCATATTTCATTTTAATTTGTGTTAAACTCGTCATTTATTAACAATCAAAACTTCACTTTAGAATGGGGAACATATTTAGGGCTTAATGACTTAATTCATGGCTAGTTGGACTCTATTAACACCTAACAGAGAGTGTTTTATTGTTTTATATTATTTTATTATAAGAGTAAGCAAAATTTATTAAGTGCAAATAAGTAAAAACTACATTTCTGGTCCTACATTTTTTTATTTTTGAGGGGTTGTTGGTTTAACTCTTGAACTCTTGACTATGAACTTCAAATGAACTGTTTGAAATTAATTTGTATGTATAGCGAGTGCGTTGTATGTATAGTGAGCGTGATGGTTTTATGTACTTTTTCCTGTCCTGTAGATGATTTCACATCAACCTGCCGAGGGACTGAAGATGGAAATTTGCCACTCTGGCTATAATCTTTACATATTTGGATTTTAAATGTTCATTAATATGTGCTGTCCCTTTACAAATAATAAATAAATAAGAATCAGAATACTAGTCCTTAACAACACGCTTATTACCAAAAGCTAATTAGAACCATAATTCATAGACAAAAATGGCCTAGTTTCATACAAATAAGCAGTAATAAGGAGTGTATTAATAGGAAAGTGTTTTTCAATGTCTAACTAATAGCAGAATAAACTTATGAGGAATTACACATTAATAAATACTAATTCATGACAAATTAACCATCTATAACTGTACTAATTCGCAGGTAGTTAAATGTTAATAAGTGTACCCTAAAATAAAGTGTTGCCAACAATACATTGCACAAAACTTTAATGAACTGTAACATACAAAAAAATTATTTATTATAGCTGATATAGCCTACTACAGCTTCAAAGTAATAATAAACAACATATGACCCTATTTCTGTTTGGTTTTATATAGCTTTTCCTATATGGTGCTTAACAGACCATGAGCAATGATGGGATGAGACCAGCCAGGATAGGGGATTAACATGAACAGGTTAATTGGAGGTCGTTTAATGCTCCAGAGGTCCATGGATTACAGACACCATCCTCTTATACAGCTGCTATAGAGACAGAGAACGAAAGAGAGAGGAGAGTCCGAAGACCGAGCGGATCACTGCTTCGTGCCACAGGTTATTACCACACTTTAACAGAGAGAAGGGTTTAATTGGACAGCTCCCCGGGGGTCTACGGTAAGAGGATTAGGACAAAACTAACCAGCATGACCTCCCCTCTGGATTTATCAGGAGTAAACTAACCCAAAACAATGACCGTGTGCAGTCAGACATGATCGAGAGTGTGTGCTTGCATGTTTCTGTAGAGCTGTGAGACATATGGATATTTCTGGAGGTTAATTTGTAATATTAGATGAGTTATATAAGTAGATGTACACGCCATACACTCCTAGCCTGATTCATCAGCCGGTTTCACGTCTTGGAAACCATCTAACTTCGCAGCATTAGGATTCGTTCATTCGATGGTAGGCAGGTACATTTTTATTTAATCAATTGCGCCAAATCCCGTAGGAAGAAGGGCAATAACGTCTTTCCCCTCTATAAAATACTTGAATAATAATAATAATAATTTTCAATGTTTTAAAAGTCATTTCAATAAATAGTAAATACCGTGCAACTTGAAAGACAGATATTTTGTTGTAAAGCTTTGTAATGCTTTTCAATTATGGGATATTTCAATAACATGGGATATGGGACATGTTATTTTTTTTCTCTTATGAGGTGGATTACCAAAAAACTCCACCCATCTGCTCCTGGTCTGGCCCTTCCGTCAAATTTTAGAACCCTTTGTGGCCCACAAGTCAAAAAGTTTGCCCACCCCTGGTCTACATCCATCTCAGCCATTTTGTTTACTGTTGCTGTACCACAAAAAGGACCCAGACAGGTGCTTGAGTTTAACGTCATGTCTTCACAGTTCTTCGCTGATGGGCCGGTGTGTGGTCTACCACTTCCAGGGTTCTTGTAAACCATCTAGTGTATTTCAATTCCTGACCTAGTTGCTGGAGAGAAATGAATTGAGAAGAGGCACTAGGCTAATAAACTCCAGAAATTTGTGCAAATCCTAAACCTCAACAAGGACACGTAATCATACACTAACACATTTCTAAAAGGACAAGTCTTAATACACTAACACTAATCATTACTAAACCTAGTATCGAAACTAGATGCTCATTACTAAAAACGTCACATTCACAAGACAGAAATAAACCTTTCGTGAATAGTTTTAGAATGATCTTGAGCTGTATCTGAACAAGTATAAGAGCACATAGACTAGTATACACCCATGGACCATTATGGAACCTATAAGCACCACTCATTGTACATGTATGTTCATTTCCACCAACACTACAGACTAAACTACTGTGCTGCTAAATGTCACACAAACCCACAGAGCAGGGCAGGTGCAGTGACAGGAATGGGAGCTCTAACTGTGACAAGTGGTTTACCTCAGAGACACAGAACGCCTCGTAGTGCGAAGGTGCACTAGTCTGTACGCAGACAAAGAGACATTCACTGTCAGACAACTGTGTGGGTTTTTAGGACGCTCATGACAAATATTACACTTCCAGCTTTAGTGAAGGAGAACCAGCACCCGCTGTGATTTATGAGCCCCCTTGACCTTGCGCTGCTCAAAGACTAAAGTAAGGTAAACTGTGCCGGGATTCCTTCAATGAGCCAAATCAAAGAGAAGAGACTCAAACGGGCGAAGGAACTGTCTCGAACTTTGGCGTTGAATTTCTGCCCTGCAACAAAGTTCAGACAGAGGTTAAACAAATAGACCGGGATTAAACGGACTATATTACGCTATTTTATGATCTATGTTATAATGTTGTTTCCTCATTACAAATACACCTGTTTTGTTTCATTCACACATGTATAAAACACAAACTCAGGACAATTGTCACAATACAGGAAGTGCTCCACTGTGTTTTTAAACCCCATACACCTTCACTATCATCATTTGGATAATTTAAGACCTGGAATTGCTAATCTCTACTAATCAAAAGGTAAAAGGAGCTGTTAACTTGAACACTACCACTACATGACATGATATAATGGAACAGAACATTTTGAGCTTTGGAAAGGCACTCAGACTTACAATAAAGAGTTACTCAAACTTGTGTGAATGAAACAAAACACTGGGTATGTTTTGGTTTAAAGTGCACAAGTACAATTAATTCTCCTTATCAAAATCTGCACATGTGTGAACAGTCAGAATTTAATCAGATTGCTCAGTGTTTAAATGTCATTTCAATAATCTGATTACTTCGGAAATCAAATAATGATCAGATTCTTGGTGTGCATTGCTACAAGAAATCTCACATGGAGAATAAAAATCTGATCAAAAAGACATAAGACCAGACCACAGCAGCACTAGTGAGTACAAGTGGCTGAATGTGGTTGTCTGAACTAGACTCAAGCATATCAGATCGCCCACTACGAAACTATCACTATGCAACAGGAAAACAAACATGTCTGCTACGAGAGATCCAAGGAACCTCTGTCCCTCTGAACTGTAAGCCTTCCAAATGTCTTCAGACTTTATTTAATATCCAAAAGCTTATGCAAGAAAGAGACAGGTTAATCGGAAAGGAAGGAAAGGCTTACTTGAAATAGTTGGAATGGTTGACAATTTTGCCAGTGTGTGGTCCTATGCTTTTTATTATACTGTAATGAAATGTTGTCAGGATACTACAATATACTGAAAGGAATAAACTCAAAATTCAATACCAATGCAGATACCACAATAATAATAAAAAACACTCCTTATTTAGATAATAGACCATTTTAAACATCAAACCATATGACTTGTATATTACCATGTGGTCTTAAATCTGTGTAATCACTCAGTTATCCAGGTAGGTTCCATAGTGGTCTATGTGCAGGAAAGATTCATTTCTGTCCTGTGAATGTGACTTTTTTTTAGGTACTGATACATGCTGAAATGTGTGTCTAGTTTTTTGTTTTTTTTTTGACTTTTATTGCCACAAATCAATTCACATCAACAGTGTCCTGAGTATGGGCCTTCACACAATTTATATATTTACTTTTTTCCCCATCTTCCCCTACAAGAGGAAAAAAGAAAAAAAAAACTGTAAAAATGAAAATAAATGAATAAATAAAAAAGGCATGTTAGGGCATAAGTGTCTTATTTGAAAAAGTCAATAATTGGGCGCCACTTCTTTTCAAAAGTTGGCACCTTGAGCTGTAGTTGAGCCATTAACAGTTCCATTGGATAAACTTGTCTGATTTTTAATATCCACTGATCAATGGTCGATGTTTCAGGTTTCAGCCAGTAGATAGTGATCATTTTCCTTGCAATCATCAGAAGAAGATGCAGCAGAAAGCACTGGATCATCAGCAAATGTATCAAGCATAAAGATCTTTGGGTCCATCAACAGGTCCACAGTCAATATATTTTGTAGAACATCTTTAACATCAATTCAGAAACATTTTATATTGGGTGAGTCCCAAAATATGTGAGTCTGGTCGCCCA